GTGTGGGGGGGGGGGGGGGTGATGATAAAGGAGGTTCCTTCAACTCATCAGACGCCAAATACATTCAGACTAACGTTTATTTCTGAGCGATATGCCTTACGCGTAGCATGGAAAATGCTGAATTCCTAAACTTTTAAGTGAGAGTTTTTGGTTTGAGACCCGTTTGTATCATGATACCTTTCGTTACCTCGCCATGCACTACGTGTTACAAGTGGCTGCCTGTTTGTGTAAGTTTTCTGTCTGCGGTATTGTGATGGATGAGGCACAAGACGACGATGACGAAGCCTCGGTGAGGTCGATGCCAGAGACCTCATGGTCCTGGTGAGGCCTTACCGCTGACACCAAGCTGCACGTACAGGGTTTGTCCACCAAGAGCCCACATGGCGGCTGAAGTAGCATGGCCTGCAGCGAAACGGTCGCTGGCTGCGGTGACGACTTTTTAGCGTTGTCGGGTTTCTTGAGAAGCTCCTCTATGGAGTACGGATTGCGTTTCTTCTCTGCCTGTGGTGGCTGTTGCCGTTCTGGCTGTTTACTCTCTTTTCTCCTCTCTGGTCTCATCCTGACCTCTTCTTCCTCTTCGTCGTCTTCACTTTTGTCCATCGAGTCCTCCTCACTGCCAGCTGTGCTGCTGTTCTTGCTGTGCGAGCTCTGAAGGACATCGGCGTGTAGCTGTCCGCTAGAGAAGCCGCCCTCTGACATCAGGAGCCCCCCGTATCGGGGGTGATACGGCAGTGTGGAGTGGTGAGGTCGACATGAGATCATGAAGTTCGTCCAGGGTGACTGGGGTTGAGTGAGGGAGCTCTTGGCAGAGAGGGTGTTAGGTGCTGTGGCGGCGTGAAGTTGGTGCAGGGCTACAAGACGTCCGGAGGTGCTGCTCGTGTTGGTGGTGTAGTTGTGGTTCGAGTGGTTGAAACCTTGAGGTAGCTGGGGGTGTGGGGAGAAGAACCCCATCCTGCCGGATACCAGTGACGCTGTCTTGTGTTGGTATGTGGTACCACCAGTGGCTGAAAGGAGAACACTTTCTGTGAACATTTCGCTACAGTCAGTGGTCTGACCTCCACAGGCTGAATGCAGCCTGTTGACCCGAGTGCAACACAACTGTCACTTCCTGGCTCCCAGCTGGAACTGCATGACTTACTGCCAAGCGCTATAACAAACAATAAAACGTAGAACCTGCCGGGAACCGGGAGGTGACATGCATTTAACTTGTCAGTTTTACTCAGTCTCTCCAAATTAAAAGGTTGATGTCTTGAAACAATTCACGAAATGACGAGTTATTGAACGGTGAAGTAGGTATTAGGTGTATCTAATAATTAGACCTGTAACTGGATTTACCGAAGGCTGCTATCACACTGTCGGTTAACATCTTGACTTACAATAGGGCCAATCTGTATACGTCGATTACAGAAAGAATGTAATTTTTTTTTCAGTGATCGTTTTGGTAATTTTCGATAAGTTTAATAATTTGCTTGTTCTTGCCTTGTGCTCTGCATAAAGTTGCTGCTAAGTCCTCGTTAAGAGGGGCGGTTAGGCTCTTCAATATCACAAAGTCACAGCCAACACAGGAAGAAAAAGAACAAATATTAACAGCCTCTCTAGCGTGATTCAAAGCCGTTATCTCAGTTTATAAATTCGCTTCGTATTTACGTAAGATTCTCGCTCAGGGGAGCGCCACGCTTCTGTGCGTGTACCCTGAAGGCAAAATAGACTAGTGAGGACGTAGGAGGGGAAAAATGAGCATAAAAATCAACGAACCTGGGGAATGTTGTGTGCTGCTGGGACCCTGGGGGCAAGGCCCTCCAGAAGCAGCCACTGCTGCCACGGATACCAGGTCTTCCTCCGTCCACGCGCCACTGTTCCGTAGGATGCGGTTCACGGAGCTGACGCTGGGGATAGAGTTCGGGTCGCATATCCTCTGAGCTAGAAGCTGGTCTCTGATCTCCCACGCGAACATTCCGGGGTTCTCCTGCTTGAAACGCAAGATCTTCTTCACGACGGTGGGCGTGGCCACCTGCTGCAATAAGACAGTAAGGGAACCGACTTTATCAGTCAAGTTGGCACTTGCCGTAAAAGTGGCACCCTCACGGAAGAATATAAATTTTCGTTGTTTACAGACAAACTTTAAATATAAAGTAAATTTATAGGTAATCTAGAATGCTGTTCTAAGATAGTTGAATCAGCCACATTCTGAGGTTCTGCTTTTGGTCAAAATATTTTCATAGAAATGGAAAGGCTGCGATGTTTTGCATCAAATTTTCAGTATTTTATCTATAACGGTAATTATTTCCTTCTGCAATTGTAACGTAGGTGGGGAACAGGGGACCGCATTTGCCGTGCTGACATTGTCCATGATGCTTCTCCTTACCGCAGTACATTTAAAAGTCGCTTATCTCGTCCATTTTTCAGCACTCAGTCGTTTGGCACGCTCTTAATGTACAGGAATGAGATACGTGTTTGAAGTTGCACAAAATATTGTTTAACCCATTCGCAAAATAAGTCAAAGTTGGAAATACCTTGTAGACAGGATGGGTACAGACAGGTGCAAAAATTAGCAAAAAATGAAAACGCGAAGAGTAATGGGAAGACCTAGGAACCGATGGAAAGAGAACTTTGAGATGGGCATAGGCATTTGTTGCATGGTACATAAAGGTAAGAATTAGAGTGAAATTTGTACTTCTGTCGTTCCATCGTTCCTTCTGCAGTAAAAACAGAAAAAATGGCCGCTTGTCTGTCTCATGAAAGATACATCAGTTGATATTAATCTTCTGTCATACGATAAGTTCTTCTAGCATTCCGTGCTGAAAAAGTGTCTCATGCTGAAAGTTTGAAACAAGGTGTGTGTTGCAGTACTGGAGCCGCTGTCTAATGGCTTCTTTCTTACGTTCATCTCTTGAAGCCTTAGATTCCTAATGAATTTTAATTTGAAAAATAACAAGTTACAATCTGTTTTAATATACAGTTACCTAAGCAAAGTGAAAAAGCTCTCTCAATCTTGATTAAGCTGAGGTGCCATCACCTCGTTAAAACTTTGATTGAACTTTGAAGGCTTAATGAGACAGCGAGCCTCATAATTAACAAGCAGCCCCTGCCGACAGATGGCATCACAGGCCATGCAATTATCTCGTCTTCTGCATTCACTCTCATGCTTGAAGTATTTAGGGTAATGGATTCCGAGTAGCAAATAACAACTTTCAGCTTTGAGAACCTTTAACTCTTATCCTTTCTCGTAAACAGACCCCACTTTTAAAGGCGGCATTTTGGCAGCACTGATTGCATTTACTTTGTTACCATAATTCATGACAAATAAACAGGTCATGAAGCAGGTATATGGAAATGATACATTAATATACTCTAGAATATTTTATTTGAAATACCTAAACAGATGGCTCTGTGGGCTACGGCTCATGTTAATAAAATAACTAGTGACGGATTGAACTGCATTTATCTGCCTCAGGACAGTATTTTTTGAACACGGCGATGAACCTTTCGGAATCCGTGAAAGTTAGTTTCTCAAGGGCACTGAAGATTTTGAACTGCAAAAAAGGAAGCATTGCCCGAATTCATTGTTTTGTGGATGTCGTGTTAATATATTCATGTCGTTCAAAAATACGAAAACAGTGGCACATTTTAGAAAGATGTATTAGGTATCTCTGCGTTTACTAATTTCTCAGCAGTTTAAAACATGTCCCTAATTCCATTCTTGCATGAAACTTCTCACTTGCATTTGTAATCGCAGAATTGTCGATGTGTTTTTCAGGATAATTTTTTTCTTTATTTCTTCTTAGAAGGGCCATTTTTAGCAGCCACGATACTGAATTATCCCCTGAATTCATTTTTGTATTGCGCGTTTTCACACAACGTTCAATACGCAATTTCATTTTGATGACAGGGATTTTGAAGACCAGTTTGTTGTTGGAGGGGTGTGTGATCAACTCCTCTGCCCTTTACAAACTCACGAACCCACGTTGCATTCTGACATTGCGGGTTCCAATAATTTGCACCTTGCTGAGAGTTTTGTGCGGTGTTTTATGACAATGATTGTTCTGAAGCTTGGTTCACACCAGGATGTAGCGTGCGCCTATTACAGAACATGTTGGCTGGTAAGTAGTAGTAGAAATGATGATGATAAAGATAATAATGAATGATACGTGTCCCATAATGAGCAATGAGTGTTAAGAACAAAATCTGACCATGGACAGATTTTCCGTTTAAAATGGAGAGATGATAATAATAATGGCACTGGTAATAACTTAAGGCTAGGTTTTCTCTACGGAAAAGTAGAACGTCATTAAGATCCATGGGAAGGGGTGAAGTGAACTTTAATGTAGACGTGTTCTCGAACTTGGCTGTAGGTGCAGAAAGGTAGGTAGCTTCACGCTTTTGCATATTTATCCCCGGCGAAAGAACCCCCGAGATGACGTAACAATCCGAGAGTAGCGAATAGGTTTGTGGCGTTTTCTCTCCACATAATAAGTAATTAAACAGCGGAACATTCACCTGCATGGTGAGATGTGCTCTGCGTGGCTCTAATTTTTGATACTTGGGAGGGGGGGATACATTGGTGGACTTTGGCATTTATGAGGGTAATAGTAAAATGGATTGTAGTGCAATGACTTGTGTGGATGCAGACTGAATCGAGTTGGTTACGGAGAGGGCAGCACAGTGCGAACCGCGCTTCTCATAATAAAATGCCAGGAGGTCCATCCCCTGGCCCCCACGCCGCGGCACCTCGTTCATCATCCGATCAGACTAATTGAATGTTACAGATGAAAACGTTGCTGCTAATGAAACATGACAGAGTTATTTTTAACACGTTAAAGAAGGACTTTGATAAATCGTCCTATACTCTTAACAAGTGCCATAATGATAGGCTTTAAAAAAAGAATGCCTGATCGTTTAGATCACCATGGTAACTGTTCGGCTTCCTGCGCGCCCAGCTTCTTGGTGTCATCTCCGTCATTGGACCTATCAATGCGATTGGCCAATTTTATCTCATCTCTGCCTTGTACTTTGTTAACCTTTCAGTCTGTGTCTTGAATCCGACATTCTGTGTGCCTTGAAACTTAGGGATTTAACTGTGAAACTCTAAACTTTCGTTCGGTCTCGGGCTATTTGAGACATTGCCTATTTCTGCTTATGTTTCGTGTAAATATTTCAAAAATACAAAAAGAAAAACATTACCTTGCCGCTCCTATCGTGATTAATGCCGGTTATTCCTTTAAATAGCAATACACTACGTTTCCATTGTTAAAACTGCTGTTCATATCATTGCATCCATACTACCAGGAAATCCAGAATTCTGTGGTAGGATAAATTTCTTACGCTGCCAGGCAAAATTGTTTCTTGCTATCCTCCGTTGAAATTCCGCTCATCTTTTGCTCCATTTATATGCATGTTTATTGACAGTAAGATAATCCATTGAAGGGTATTAAAGCGAAAACCCCCGTCATTGTTAACACCAAAACAGTATAATTTGTGACTAATGAAATACAGAAAAAAAAAATTCTGTGTTAATTTGACCTAATTGCCAACAATTTTAAGTTACAATTAATTACACGTTGTAAGAGTGTTCTGTAAATAAATGGGGTATGTGGGGGCTACTTTCGTACTAATTGTTAGCAGATACTGGTGGTGAGATTGGCTTTAATCACCATAATGACCTATAAAGCAACAGCGGTCGGCATAGAAATATTAAGCACTTCGTTATTATGTGTTCTAGGACAATGAAGTCATTTGAATTTTAGCTTAGTCGCCTTGTCTCCTTTTTCGTTCGCCCGATAATTATTTGTCTCTTAATGAATTACGTCAAGTCAAAGTCAAATTAATTCAAATCATTATCTGCCACTACAGTAAAATTTTAAAATAATTTGATATAGTTCTGTCTTACGCTGGCAGAGGAGCTTTATTCTCTTATCAAATTCGAATGAATTATAAAAGATAACGTGGAAATTGGAAGAATATTGAAAAGTTCAATATAAAGTTTGACAATCTTTACGTCAAACCTTGCACAATTTCAAGATACTCTCGGCCTAGACGTTCGGTGCTGTAAGTTGTCTGTCCGTCCGCTTCTTTCATCTCAGAAATTGTTCAGTAGATTTTGATAAAATTTGGTGTTTAATTTTTTCTCGTAGCGATATACGAGCTCGAATCGAAATATATTTTCCTTTTTCTAAAAAATAGCTCTTCATTCAACAAAAACTGTTTCGTGTAATTAAGAATCAATAAATTTGAGACTTAAATCAAATTTAGATGCCCTAAATTTAACAAAATATATTAAAATATTTATTTCACTGTGCATTTTGGTGTCTATAATGATAATTAGTTTAGCAACAGTAAATTTATTTCTCTTATAAATAAACTTAAAAATCAGTAATGTATGGAAAACTTCTAAGGGTACGTTTAGAAGATGTATTCCACAGCATTTTAGGGTTCCGGAATGTACATCCAGCGGATTCTTTACGAAAATTAACATATTAACATACCGCGTTCTCCGTAGACATTTATACGTTTTTGCACAGTATAATTATTTACAGCTTACTTCAGATCACACCTAATGATAGTTGTAATTTAGTAGTAACCTAGCGACGGGTCAGTGTTGAAGCGTTGAAATCGCTCTTTTTTCTTACTTTCACACTTAATGACCATTATGTTTCATTAAAGACAGGCATAAGAGACAATTTCCACACTTTTTTTTTGTCAGTTGTGTAGTTGCTTCTCAGTTTATACAAACCTTACATCTACTTTTAATTATTTATACTGATGTTACAAAAAAGTGATCATTTATCACATGGGATGTTCTCATCGCTCCTGGTAACATGATGCGTTGGTTTGTACGAATCCCTTGATACTGGTGGTCACAGATACTTTATTATGTTATGTTATACCTGACTAATGCACTAACTTACTAAATCCGTGTTCCAAGCCCTTTCTTGAAACGTTAATAGACATTCAGCTGTTCAAAAAAAAATCACTTTAATAGAAACAGGAGGTTCATCACCGTGCTTACAAAATCAC